TTCCGCAACTAGGATTCCGCAACTAGGATTCCGCAACTAGGATTCCGAAACTAGGATTCCGCAACTGTCAAGATTCCGCAACTAGGATTCCGCAACTAGGATTCTGCAACTGGGATTCCGCAACTGGCGTTCCGCAACTAGGATTCCGCAACATTGTGGACTCCCTCACTAGGATTCCGCAACTTTGTGAATGATGAGGGGGTTGGCGTGATGTCGAGATCACACGATGGGGACAAGGGGGGGTTGGGGGGTGGGGGGGTTGGGTGGGGGGCTAATGACGTTGGTTTGGATATGCTTCGAAGGTGATGTCACAGGCACACACGCTGTCGCATGATGTGGAGATCACCAGTTGCAAGTTTCAGAAGGCAAGTTGCAGAATCTGACTTTCCGGTTTCAGAATACCAGTTGCAGAATCTGACTTTCCAGCTTCAGAATACAAGTTTCAGAATACCAGTTTCAGAATCCTAGTTTCAGAACCCCAGTTTCAGAATCCTAGTTTCAGAACCCCAGTTTCAGAATACCAGTTTCAGAATCCAAGTTTCAGAACCCTAGTTTCAGAACCCCAGTTTCAGAACCCTAGTTTCAGAATCCGACCGATTAGTTTCCGAATCCGGCTCTAACCACTCGTGGGGGGTACCGAAAGGATCCAAGAGGCCTGTGAAGGGAGCGGCTGTTTGATCAATATGATATGTTTAATGTATATATATATATTATATATTATATAATAAACATAAGTATGTATCTCAGCCCCTTGCCTTTTTAGCAAGATGAACACTCCAGTCTTACACTGTGTATGTACCAAAGACCAGCAAAGCAAGACCTAAAAAGAACATATTATAGGAACAAGGACGCTACTAGGGGCTCCTGGCATCGCTACTAGGAGCAAGGACGCTAAGAACGGGGCTCCTGGCCTTACTACTAGGAGAAACAAGAATTCTCCCTGAAACAATCATGGAAGTTTCAATCAACTGTTTTGTAGAGGATGGCATGGTGACATGATTGCATGGAGAGGAGAACCAAACAACGAGACGTACGTATGTCTTTTGAGCATGACTACTTGAAAGACTCCGAGATATCCGCATAGTGTCGCAGTCTCATTTTTATCTGCATGAGGCAACCGGAAATCATCCCCGCAAAAATGACACCACAGGTCTGTCATTTTCTCTTAAGACATCTTAAGACTAAGACGACATTCTTGGCACGGCACTGCATAATATATCAACGTGGCCCAATCTTGGATTTGTCGCCTTCGACTTCACCTTTGCCGCATGGTTCCAGGATACCAAGACCTACAGAGATCTCCTTCTAAGCAAAGGATATCACATCACAGGTGCGGTTTCGAGGGGCGACACCCGGGTGTGCCGCGGGAACCGACCCTGTGGGTGCTTCCGCGGGGCCGGGCGGTTTGAGGCGTGGTGAGAGCGAGGAAGTTTGCTTTGGCTACTTGAGTATATAAGTATCACGCTGTTCCAAACCATACAGGGTGGCAAGTTTGAACAGAACCCGGGCCTTTTCTTGGAAGAACTAGAGAAATGCATAGAAACGCTGAACATATGAGTCAGCTCGTGTTCCCATTCCGATCTTAGCCACCCGACCTCCTCCCTTGGCCTTTCCCAGGCATCCTGGGCCGGGGGCAGAATAGCGACTTCGTGGTGCATTCGGCGGCGTGAGCAGCAGATCGGAAACCGAGGTCATGGGAGGTGTGAGAAGCCATGGACACCCCAGACACGCCCATGGAAGCAGTGTGTCCCATTGCCAGTAACAATCAGTAACTCAGTACTATGCTTGGCAAAGGCTGTTACTAACCATAATCATACACTGTTACTGGTACTTGTAATGGGATATGACATACCTAATTCAGCACCCAAAAGATGACCTACATTCACCACCAAAGAGCACCAAATGCAGGCCAGATTTGCCTATATGTTCATCAACAGTGTTGATCAACAGTCTACTCCATGGGTCATGGGACACATATAGAATCATATATAGAATCTTTCTTGCGTTCGAGGAGTTCACCCTTCCAAAGGGGTGGGTCGATATGCCAGGCATCATGGAGGGGCCGCCTTGGGAATGGATGGGTTTTGGTTGAGGATCTTCGCTTCGGAAGGCCAGTTGCTCAACCTCACCGGGCAAAAACAGGGACTGGCATTGTGTGCTAGAGAGCCCCGACCCATGTTCCCTAAGTCGAACCCACTCGCAGTGTCCGACCAGAGAGATTGGTCTCCTCGGTGACGACCACTAGGTGGTGGTTCGATGTGTGGTTCGTGGTTTGCCATTGGTTGGGCCTTTTTTCTTAAGTGTTTTTCCCTTCACGTTGCCTGAACTCCTCTGTGGAGTGAACACTAGCTGGGACTGGTCAGACCAATCCTGAGGTCCTGAACGAGTCTTCGGGGCCATGACTCCGGCCCAGCCCGACTCCAGAGAGTGTGGCCCAGCCAAGGGGACCCTGAAGGGCGGGGGCTCCTGGCCGCTCCTGGCCGGAGCATTCTTGCTACTATAGTAACAAGGAATAACAAGGAGTGAACTTTGATAATCATCTCCAAATGACTGGGACCAGGACCCGAACACTGTTCGGTGTCTTCTTAGTCAGCCTCGTGTTACGAGGTGAGTGAAGTTTAAGGGGGGCAAACCACAAACCACCGGGCGACAGGAAGGTCCTGGTGGGGGAGAAAGGGTCTTTATGTGATTTTGGCGGCCAAGTGGATGCTTCACCGGTTCTACTCACCGAAACCAGCGCCGGCCTTAACCCGGATCCGATTCGGGACCCCCCCCCCGCCTTCGGACCGCGTCGGACCTGGTGACCCAGGCCATGAAGAACGGCGAGAAGTTCGCGGTGAAAGTCTCCACGGAGAGCGAACAGGACGTCCGAATACGCAGAGCTTCAGAAGAAAAGCGCCTGCGCTGCATGAACACATCGATGACTTGGGGTAACTTGTACCATCTACTCTGAAACCACCCGAACTTGAGCAGACTTAGCTCTAAGAATCCTGGTCCTAGCCCTTAACTGGAAAGGGTTTGGTTAGGGTCCTGACCCGTGCGTTTCGGTGTCGGTTGGGTTTGGACCCCTGTCCAGGGATTGTCTGGGTCTGGCAGATTTTCCTCCGGTTTCCTTCGACATGTTCTAGAGACTGTGCTAGTGGCCCTAGTGTTCTGTCTATATTGCTTGCTTCGCTTGCTTTGCCATGGGCAAGTTTTCTGGGACTGTGAATGCGACCATCAAAAGAAAGCTTGATCAATTGATTTTTGTAGCCGTCAACTGCTTAGGTAAAACATAGAAAAACAGATAGTTCTTCGGTTCAACTATTGAGCACCTTTTAGATCAATGGGTAATCATATGTCTTTGGCTTAGAATCCCACCGTGCACACGAAACAATTCATCCTCTCCGCTCCGCATGTTCGGTCAGGAGGGAACCAACGGTGGCGCCCTACGCCGGGAGTACGCGACCTTATCCTCTCTCAAACACCCCAACATCGCCCTTCGGCCGACGAGCGATGCCTGGGAGCGAAGAGATAGTTTTGGGGTTTAGTGTTGGATGGCGAAGCACCATGGATTGGGATGATTTGGGATGAGTTCTATAATTGTTCTATATGGAACCCCAAATGTTGCAGTTGCATCTCTGAATTTTGTGGTTGGAAGTTGAGTACAGATTTTGAGTTCCACGTCCAGTCTTGCAGGAGTCTTGAGCGAGCGTTTGTCACACTTGTCTCACAGCACGAAGAAAACGCTTACCTTCGATCGCTATCGATCGCTTTGCCTGCTCATAGTTCATGTTTATCCAAGAAGGCAACATCTTCTCATGAAATGCACCTGTCTGAGAAGAGTTCATGTTCTCCAAATTCATGTTCCTTCGTTGTTCGTTCACAACTGGACCTTGTCGGGATTCAACAAGTAGTGTATCCACAAGTACTAGTGTATGGCCGGTAGTCTATTGGAGACCCCGAGTTCTATTGGAGACCCGAGTTCGTGCTTGCATGTTCATGCCATAGGGTCATTATGGAATGGGGTGAATGTATGAAACCAGTTATGTAACTCCATCCGACGGTCCGGGGATGCTCTTTTGTGGGTTCGGGTTTCTCTTGGGTGGAGGCCATCGCTACTAGGGTGGAGGCCATCGCTACTAGGGCGGAGGAAAACGCTACTAGGGTGGAGGCCATCGCTACTAGTAACAATAACGCTTTCTAGTAACTAGAAGCCCAAGGTCTCAAATGGAGAATCCGGCTGAAGGGCGGGGCTGATCATAGGAGAACCAATTCGCTCCAATGGTTTGAAACGGAGGTATGTGGAGTGAAAACCACATGTTTGGTATTTGGGGTATTTGGAAACTGGTCATCCGAGATCGGGGATGCCATTCGCGTAGCCATGATTATTTCAGGGAGTGTATATCCCAGACATGCAATATAGACTTAGATTGACTCCAGGTCAACTTATCGGGAGTCATGTGCGATGTAACGTGTTGGTATGGTTAAGAAGCAGCGGAATATCACCATGCACCAATGACTTCAACGTCCAAAAAGGGTTCGACCCCCGAAATTCGCAGCAGGTTGTTGAAGGTAACAAGTCTTCCCAGGGTCATTCTTGCCAACCTGAAGCTATGCCAATCATTTTCTTCACAGAAGAGCGCCATGTTTTTGAGCCAGCTTGGCCAGCTGTGTTTCTGGAAAAGAAAACGAGGTGCGGGCGCTGCAAATTTGGCAGGGCCATGTAGATGAAGGCATGAAAGGCAGGGCGACAATCCGCGACATGGATGATTTGCAACTTGAAATCACACACGATGTGATTTTCATGTGTGACTTACTGTAACCACCCCTGAGACATCCAAGTTATTGTCTCTTATCGAGAGTCGAGGACGTAGAGGACGCAGTGGCGCAGGGTGGTGCAATTGCGGAGAGGGTGCCTGAATGTTGAGCCCCCCGAAGTTTGATGAGAAGTCCCACTTCCAATGAGAAAACAATAGAAAACCATAGAAAACCACTTTGTGAGATGCCCACGACGAGGAATGTCCGTCCATTCAAGAGTCCATTCTATCATTTTGCCTCGGTTTGATCAGCGACCAGTTGCGGTCTGAGACGCGGAAGCGGGGTTTCGGGATGTTTTGAAGGCAAGCTCCCGTGACCTACGAGTCTTTGCAGGTGGTCGGAACGCAGTCCTCACCTACCGGATAGGCCCATTCTCTCACACCAGATGATTCAAGCACCTGAGTCCTTCATGTCGATCTCCAGGCAAGTCCCGTATCGCTCGCACAAGAATACCACCAGGATTTAGCATCGGGTAGTTTGGGATGACCAGGATGCAACGAGGCAGTGGATGGACTCCAGGTAGACCTGGATGGACCGCAAGAATGCTCTAAAAAGGCTCACAACACCCAGCGGCACTCCCAAGACCCCATGCCTTTACATGGAGTGTGTGGGTGTTTTCTATGGGATGTTTGATCCGTCTCCAGAATTCTCCAGATGTTTTTCACAAGGAACACCCCAGGACACTGACCCACCCAGCCCTTAGTAGTAAGAAAACAACAAACGACCAGTCTGTGTTTGGCACGTCTGCACCTCTGGAGGATCTGCGATGATCTTGGAGTTTTGCGGAGGGATTAGGTGCGATGGGGAAAGGAATGAAGCGATGGGATTAGGTGGCGCCTGGTCACCACCTGTTTTTCGTCTTCGTCACCTTTTGGATACACAAGTGAACTACTGAAAAAGGGGCGGAAAACAGCCCAAACAGCCATCTACAGCCCAACCAGATGGAAAAGGTGTTTACTTCGGTGTTCCTTCTTCATCAATAGGAACCGACCCATGACCATCCATGACCTGCTTGAGCCATTGCCATGTGGTTTTCGTCTCCTGATGATCGGGGCAACTAGTACAACGACCTGGCTTAAAGGGTAGCAGCACTGAAGAAGTCTATTTATTCAATATATACCTAGGGCTCGAGCTTGCCATGCCCTGTAGCTGGATTAAGAAGAATATATACCTCGGCGGCCCCCTCCATCTATTTGTCCTCCAACCTAAAGATGGTGAGGGACAATCCTGTGAGAAAAGGGCACCACCCGTTTTGGGTGAGAAACTCAGGGGTGTCTTAAGAGCACCGCCCGAACTCCGTGGTGCTGGTTTGATGTTTCAGGTCTAAGACGCCCCTTGGCCTCGCTCTTAGGCTCGCGTGTTCGCGCCGAGCTTCGCCGCAGCCCGACGAGTTCCGCGAGGCTCAGCCGTCGGCTGCCCTGGTCAGACGCGACCTTTCAGCTGGCAGCACGACGGAAATGCCTCTGGCAGATCGACGCCTGGTGCAGAGAAAGTTATCGAAATCACGACGTCGGCAGAGCAAGGCATAGAGGAAGATGGACAGTTTTAGGTGCTGAAGATGAACATCTTAAGCACATGTTTAGATTCTTTTCCATCTATCGCTTCTTCATGGTGCTCCAAGTCCTGCTTGCAAGCTCTGTGGTCTAGCACATTCTAGCACAACATGTGAGACGATGGCTGGTAGCTCGACTGAGATTTTTGACCATCTAGCCTTCCTGGAATGGGGGCAAGTCATCTCCGATCGGACATCCAATGGGCCTTTCCTTTCATTGGGTGGTTTTGGGTCGTGAATGATGGTGAATGTATCAATGATGGTGCATGCAGAGGTCACATTTAATTTGCGGCACGAAGCGCCACCATGGAGTGTTATGGATACTAAACTGGGATCTGTGGCGCTTCATACGGACCCCAAGTCTTCAGGCGGATGCCGTGGCATACCTCCACTCCTTGCTCGTTGCTCATCGAGACTTGCATTGCAAGAACGCCTGGGGCCCCTGATCTGCGACTTTGACCGCGCCGGACCGAAGGAGGGAAGCGAGCTGTGGGAGCCGTTGTGGGAGCCGTGCTGAACATCCGGTCTGAGCGTTGGATCCAGAATGGACTGATATCTTGATCAAGGAGTCTATACATCAATTGTGGTGGTTCTGGAAGGTCTTTGGTTGTGAGACTCTTTAGGGGAATCTTTCTTGGCAAATGTCGGGTTCAGTCAAGGCACGAGTACGTAGCTAGGAGCGGAGCTTGAGTGCCCCTACGCAGACTTCTCGCAGATGACGGTTGCCTGTTTAGGAGCGGAGCTTGATTACCCCCTATGAAGACTGCAGACTTATCGCAGGTGACGGTTCACTGTAGCATTATGTTAAAATTATTCTATGAAATATATATGTTAGGATCCTTATTCCTCATTTGCGTTGACACCCACGAACTGAATGAGTTTGTGAGTTCGAACGCACCTCAATCAACTCATCCACTGGGGTCCCAACCGGTTCCACGCCACAGGTCCTTCCACATCGCTATTCTGTTGGAGCCCATCGTTTCGTTCGGTTGGAGACTCCCGGACTGGAACCGTCTTGACCCGGTCTCTTCATGGCGCCACCAGGGTTCCCGGCAGAAACTGCCTAAGCTGCCCAGACAGAACAGGAGGAACAGCGACTCTGAACAATCTGAACCAGCAAATGGATGTTTGAAGGGTCAAGAGTCACAAAGGACCCCTGTTTTTGAGAACAGTTGTTTGGGAGAGTTGCCAAAGCAAGTTCCCAGCAAACCCAGGAAGTCGTTGGCTCGGCTTGACTTGCTTTTTCTTCTGCAAGCCATTTGAGGCTTCCAGATCTTCCAAGGCCAAGCAAGAACAAACAATTCATGGGACTGGAATGGTTGCCTACATTCGGTGCGATGTATGGATTTTATGATGTTTTGAGAGTCAATGTAGGCATTTCCAGTCCCATGGACTATTCGGGATAGATTGCAGCACCTGAATGCCTCCCACAGCTCTCCATCCCAAGTCGGGCAGGTCTTGGTCAACGAGGTGGGCAAAGACATCGAAGTGAAGGCGCGGATCCCCACCAAACGGCGACGGCAACGGAAACGTAAAAGAGGTCAAAAGAGAGTACGTCCTGGAAGATTACTACCATGGAAACTGAAAACCAGTGGGTTGAAGAACATAGTCTTCCAGTCTGGTCCATCTGACTCCATGTGGGTCTCTTCCCGCGTGTAGGTCCGAAGGTCGTCCCTTCTAACAGTTTGCAGATGTTTGGAAAGAAAACACATGATGAAGTTTGAAGCTTTTTGAGCCAGGACAGTGCTTTTTGGGGATGTAATATATATATATATACAGAATTTGTTTTTGGGTCGATTATGGGAGAGGAGGAGGAGGCAGCGGAAGCTGGAGACCCCTTGAGGTCTCTCAAAGAGACTCCTTATGCTTGAAACTATGTCCGTGGCGACCCAGCGGAGTTGGTGCATGACTTCCAGACGGAGTTGGTGAATGTATCAGCAAATCTGGAATGTATCAGCCAATATGCTTTTTATGGTGAAGTACAGGTCATACTTTCCACTGCCTTGGATTCGTCGTTTGTTCACAGACGACGGATACAATGATGGGGAATACATTAGGCCACCAAGTGTTTAGGTCCCAGATTTCTCGAATCCTTCTAGGACCTTCGCAAAGAACTCTCTCCAGGACCTTGCCGTGGCTCCACCGAAATGAATGACATGCCATGCATGAGTGCAGTTGTGTGCAGTTGTGTTAAAACGACCAAACTCCCAACGCCGGGCCACAACGAACCGTGCAGTTCTGCTTCACCGGATTCGCCGGGCGGATCAGGGCGGATCACCCCGGGAGACCATAAGAGACCCACATGGAACCGGTCTACATGGACCAGACTGGAAGACGATGTTCCTAGGCCCAGCCCAGTGGGTTTTCAGGTTCCAGGTGGGTCTCTTCGTTCGGGTGTAATGACTGATGTCTCAACAGAGCTTGACTGTTCTTCTCTCGCAGGTCTTAGATTTTGGCTGCGCACGGCCTCTGAACTCGGACGGCGGCGTTGAGGACGGCGTGGGCAGACCGGTAGGTCCGGTAGGTGACGTTGGCTATGGACGGGACCCATGTTGCTTGGTGGCTGGCTGGGTTGGCTTGGGTGGGTGGTTCATTTGGTATTTGGTTCAATGGTTTTCAGGGTCAGAGGCTGTTTCACTTCTCAGCAGGTTCGTCCTTTTGGCCAAAATCGACGTGTTGTAATGGAGTGTGAAGAATAAGCGGGAGTTTCGGGACATGGAAATACCATGAAATGCCTCAGAGACCGATGAAGCTTTGAATTTGTTTGAAAGAATCCTTTGCCATCCTTTGCCTGTTATTCTATACGGGTCGGACAGGACCGCTTGAGTTTGTATCCGTGTACTCCAGATCGCATTCGACAACCGGGAAGTGCCGACCAAAAGAGCCCATGGCGTTCCCATCGAGCCACGGTTCTGCCTGTGTTGTTGGACAGTCGACAGGAAGATGTGAACGTGAACATACTGCCAGTGGGCTCTACACAGCCTTGCGATATCTTCGCCATGGGGCTGTGGCTTGACCCAGCTGTCGGTGAAGGTGGTCCCACGCGAGGAATGGACGCATCATTTAGGGGCGTAGGACAGCCATTCAGGGCGACATCAGACAGTTCCGGCTGTCGGTGACCTATCCCAAGGTCCTGACTTTGAAACCACATTTCAGAATTGGACCTCTTTGCAGGACCAACAAAAACCATCCCCAAAAGGGGTGAACTCCGAAACCTGGTCTCCGAAATCCAGGGGCTCCAGAGGGGTCAGAGACCTGAACCCAACTCTTTCATACTCTTTCCATCTGAGGGATTCTGAGGGTTTTACTGTGTTCTTCCAGTTTCTCAGAAAGCTCTGCGTTCCCGGGATCGGACATCAGGTGGGTCTCCAAGCCAGTCCCATGTTCCAACCAAAACGAGACGGTTTTCACCTGGGCGCCCCAACAGTTTGACCAGCTGTTTGACAGCTTCATCATGTCCTTGAACTGGAATTGATCATCGCTTGCTCTTTCGCGTACAATTGCAACAGTCGCGTCGCTGGTGGTCTGAAAGCTTCTTCCTTTCTCACGTGCTCAAACCAATTGGTGGTTGGAATGACAAGCATTCCGAAGGTTGAGGTCAAAGAAGTCTTGTTGAGGGGGCAAAGAAGCTCGGTTTCTTTTTGAGCTGAGGATCGGTTGCTCCATCATCTCGGGGAAGGAGATCAGCAGCTGGGGCGTGGCTTAGCACAAGTGGGAGCGCTCGGCACAGCCGGTTCTTGGGGTGGCCACGGTTGGGGTCGCCCTCTTCATGGAGGATGTCTCAGTGGAGTCTTTCAGCATGTTTGAGCCATGTGACCGTTTTTCATTGTAAGGGAACAACTGCTCGGACGAACAGTGCGGGGTTTCCAAGTGCACTTCATGCACTTGGTCAAAGCGATGATGACCAACGAAGCAACGAAGCAGCGAGAAGACGGATGAGGACGGAGTAGTTCACTGCACCGAAAGAACGGCACCGGATCGAACGGCACCGGTTCGGTGCTGCTTTTTTTCCGGTTCGGTGTTCGAAGTGAGTCAGTCGCAGTCCCCGATCTGGGCGGTGACCTGGAACCCACTTCAAATAAAAAATGGGACATGACCATGGACCTCACCACTCAAAGGGTGGTTTCTAGACCCCCGTGACTCCTGACTATGTATGTTCCATGGATTTTCCATCCCAACTGGCTTGTGCTGGTCCGTACCCCTTGTTTCAGTTGGCTCCAGGGAAATCTTGGTACCCCAAACCTCACTCGTTTCACTTGGTCGTTTCAATCCGCACGAAGCCTACCCCTACGCAGTCTGCTGCGAGGTGGTACCGCCGGATGGGGAGTCCTCCATCACTTTGCCTGCCTGCGGTGCAAAGGACTTTCGCTTGACTGGGCTGATGTCGGAATATCTGCCCCTGGGCTGATGACGCACAAAACTAAAGACCCTGGCCGTGTGTCCTGGGGCGTTGACAGTGCAGAGCCTGCGAAGCTGGTCTCTTTGGCACCCGAAACCCTAAATCCTAAACCTAGTTTTCTGCATTTGAACACCATATTTATGTTTACTGATTTCCTTTCAAATTCCGTTTGAGGTCCAATTGATGTCCTTTTGTTCCTTTTGATTTCATGTTAACTTCCCTTTAAAGCCTGTAGTCAATGTCTCTTGAAACCCTTGTTAACTGCTTAATCTCTTCCACAAAGGGGGTCGCCCAGTACACAAGAAGGAAGTCTTGAATAATAAAGCCCCAGTTACAACACCCTGCAAGCCCCTTTTTGTTTTAAGAACAGCACCCCCTGTCTAGGCTTTTCTATGATCAAGAAGTATTACCACCTCAAATATTGTTGCACTTTTGCTTTGGTATGGTTTTTTGCAAAACTGCACCCTGCAATAATGTCTACGCACTTTGCTTTTCTTTATTTCTATTTTGTTGATTTCCTTTTTAATTCCTTTTGATTCCACTTGGTTTCCAACAAACATGTACGTTTTATTATGTGTTGAGCCTGTAGAATACGGTGCTTGTAAGCATTTGCAAGGCAGATTTTACAGCCCTACCAATGACCACTCTCTAGATTTACCACCAACACCAGCTCTCTTGTGGTGATGCAGGCGATGCGTTTCTACCCATTGTCGGTGTACACATGAACTAGCAAGACTGTGTTTCTTCTCAGACAGCCTGGGTCCCTGGGTCAACATGTCAACATCTTCCCTGACTTTAGCAAGCAGTCAAAAAGAGAGATGAAAAGTTTTGAAAATACATGATATACTGTATATATATATATACACATTACTCTCAACTCCATGAAACATAGAGGCGTCCACATACAAAAACGATGCTTTTTTGGCTCAGGGGAAAACAAAACCAGGTCTTTGATGGGATCTCGAGGGCCGGCATGCATATATACATGGTTCTTGCCGTTGATGTTCGATTTCTGCGTTCTGTTCTCGCCTGCCTCGTCGGCTTGTGCGGAAACGGTCGTTCTTGTCTGCCTGAAACGAAGTAGATCGGTGCGGACACGTTCGATCTGCTTCGTTTGTTGGGTCCCGAAGTGATCCCAAATGATCGAAGTGGTCCACGAAACGATCCAGTTGTCGGTCGAGGCCGTAGGTTGGAGGCCATCGCTATTAGGTTGGATCCAGTTGTAGCTCCAACTCGAAGGTGGGTTGAGACCCTCCAGGCTGAGACCTTTTTCTCCAAACCTCATTTGGATACTTTCCACATGCCTTCTGAGAGGGTGATTGGAGACACCTTGATGAGTCATACGGGAACTCTAGACTCTATAGAGTCTAGAGGTGGTGTTTTGGACCAAGTGAGTGGATGGGAGGAGAATTACGTTTGTCCTATACCCCTGACATCCCCTGATCTTCCTGGCATCTCGACCAGATTCCCGCCATTGTCCTTAAGGCTCGGCATGCTTGAAGTGAATGGGGAGCGCCGCTTCAAAGCACCAGAGGCGCTTCCGGTGGACACCACCAAGCGCGACTCGGGTCGAGCGGTCTGCCACTGTGGGACACCGGGAGAAGGGATGAGAAGAGGAAAAAGTGGGTGCCGATGGCAGCTCTTCCCAAGAGGTCCTTTGGTGTTCCAGATCTTTCAACAGAGGGTTTCTACAGTAGAGAGGTTGATCCACCTCTGGCAGTTGCCATCCAAATCCTCTATGCGCATGACATTTGATCACCCCTTAGGAACGGAGTAGCTTTTACATGCCCAAACATGTTCACCTGTGGTGTCTACTGGTGTCTATAGATGTTTGCCAGCTCTATATGTTCGACTTCCTCTCCCACTCTCCAGCCCAGCATGAAGATCATGAAAAGCCGTGATCATTCTCGGGAAAGTCCTATGCCTTGAACCATGTTGTTCCTTGGTGACAAGTCCTATGCCCAGAACCTGTCCTGAAAGCACCTCCTAGGCTCCAAAAACAGCCTGTTGCAATATCCTGACCAGGGTGCTCGTATCTTGCCGTGCTCTTGTTCCATCATGTTCCAGTGTATTTCCCAACGAGTGGTTGGACAGTCTGAGGAAGATTGTCATCAGGGATGTTTACCAGGTTACAATCATTCAAACATATTTAAACATCTCAGACTGATGTAGAATCTCAGAAGGTACATCAGGATATGCCTCCAGGTTTCGCTCATTGAATCATTCTTCTGCCGCCCCACAGCTGCTGCCCATGTGCACCAGGCGCTCAGCAGACTGCCCGAGGAGTCGCAGTGGTTGATGACGCAGCCGAAGAAGCTTTCACTCTGAGGAAAACGCACAGATCGATCTGGCAAAAGCCGTGTGTGCAGAGTCAACCACCAAACATAGTGAACCTAGAAGTTATATATAGCAGGACCCACAAGGGGTGGTTAATGGACACCCCTTAACATCTATGGGGCTATCAGTATCAATAGAAGCCCCTTAGGGTGTCCTGGTATATGGGATTATATAGTGTTTATATGATATGACACCATTCTTTGAAAGAACTCACCACAATACACCACAATACCCTTCTTGTCATCATATTGACAAGCAATGCTGGCCCCCAGCTGTAGAGCGTCTTTGGAAAAGGGACACCAGAAGCGTCCTCAGCCATCGGAGCGTATCTGTCCAAGCGGTTTTGCACTCCAGCTGAGCAGTTCCAAGCTGAGCGCGTTCCAGTGGAGCAGTTGGCAATCCAGTTGAGTGTGTTTATTTTTTTCCAATCTTAGGTCAATTGATCAGTTCCACCTAGTTCCACCTAGTTCCACTCGTCGGCTGGACTCAAACACCCTTTTTGGATTCTCCACACACCGACCCAGCTCGCTGCACCCGAGCTGCGATGGACCAGCGAGATTTGTGCAGGTCGGCTCTTAAAGAGGTCGGAAGATCGGGGGATTTCTTGCCGCTGACGATGGTTCACTCCACCGACCGACGTCGTAGGTGTTTGGCTGAGTCGGAAAGGAAAGGATTTCGGCGGCCTGAAACAAGAATGACCGCTTCGCGAACATGGGAACATGGCCTCAGTTGTGAAGTCGCATTTCTTGCCTTCTAAGATGGTTAAATCTGATTAGTAAACCCCCCCATACCGGGTGATAGTAAGGCTTTCCGATCGACTCGGGGTTGGATGAATTATGAGATGAATCCATCAGTTTAAGTTCAGGACATTCAGGGAGTACTGAGTATACCATGGCTTCATCTCAGTCTACGGAGACCGTCCTTGATAAGGAGCTTTGTTTGTGTGGTCTATGGAGGCAAATTGATTTCGTTGAGATCTTGGGGAGTGTTGGATGCTTTCAGGGCCTTGGCAGTGGTTAACGGTCAATGGTCAACCAGTGACCTTTTCAGATTTAACTGGGAGGTGGCAAGCCATGGCAAGCCTGAAGTCGGACGTGAGCAAGAAGTGCACCCCGTCTCAAACGATAGAGGCGCGCTCTATTTTTGAGGTCCCTGCCAAGCAGGGCCATTTCGTGAGACTGCCAACGAAGCTGACTGTGTTCGAATCTTCAGCTGGCTTTTCCAAGCACCAGCGGATGGATGGTCCACAGCAGAACTTCTCCAAAATACCGAAATGTCTTGACACATCGATGCAAACAAAAAGGAAGCCAAACTCAGATGGCACCTATGGCTGGGGTGCCAGGCAGTATATCATGACGAGGGTCGAAGGGCCTAAAGATTCAATTTGCAATATAGGCTGAAAGACCATACACCACAGATCGAACGCTTCGTCCTGGTTCCTTCTATAGTGGATTAGACCAGGACCTTCCAAGCCTGGTTTTTGGACACCCTTTAACCTCTAAGGCTACTTTCTCCCACCCCTGTGTTTGGGTCCTGGTAGTGGTAGTGGCTTGGATCCTTTGCGAACCGCAAAACGGGCCACCAAACCACGGTAGATTCGAAGGATCCGGACCCGTTTCGCATACCCCGGGGCTTCCCCAGAAGCCAAGGAACCCCGTCGAAGATGGGACCTTGGGGATTTGAGGCGACATCATCATGGATGTGACGCGATGTGGAAACCGTGATGGCCTCCACCCTAAGATCGATCGCCTCCGACCTACTAGCGATGGCTTCCAACCTACTAGCAATGGCCTCCAACCTACTAGCGATGGCCTCCAACCTACTAGCGATGCCCTCCAACCTACTAGCAATGGCCTCCACCCTCAGAGCGATGGCCTCCAACCTACTAGTGATGGCTTCCAACCTACTAGCGATGGCTTCCAGCCTACTAGCAATGGCCTCCAACCTGCTAGCGATGCCCTAAAGACCTACTAGCGATGGCCTCCAACCTACTAGCGATGGCCTCCAACCTGCTAGCGATGGCCTCCAACCTACTAGCAATGGCCTCCAACCTACTAGCGATGGCCTCCAACCTACTAGTGATGGCTTCCAACCTACTAGCAATGGCCTCCAACCTACTAGCGATGGGCTCCAACCTGCTAGCGATGGCCTCCAACCTACTAGCAATGGCCTCCAACCTACTATAGCAATGGCCTCCAACCTACTAGCGATGGCCTCCAACCTACTAGCGATGGCTTCCATACTAGCAATGGCCTCCACCCTCAGAGCTATGGCCTCCAACCTACTAGTGATGGCTTCCAACCTACTAGCGATGGCCTCCAACCTACTAGCAATGGCCTCCAACCTT